GTTTTGATTTCAGTCAAGGTCTGAACATTCTAATAAGCGGAGACAGGCAGTAACTAGGGAAATAATAAGCTTCAATTGCAGTAACTGTTACGGAAGTTGGATGAAACAATAGTATTTGGAAATGAGTTTTCTCTTTTAAATGTTTTAGTTGAGTTAGTTTACCTTTTTATTATAAAGAGTGCTATTAGGTGAGTTTATTCCAAATCATCATTTACGAAACATAGAGCTGAAGAGGTTCAAAATATGAAAGTTCGGTAGAAATGAATAGTTCAGACAGAGAATCAGCATATATGAAGCTTTGGGTTGCAGAGAAAATGGGGGAACACAGCCAGGCAGGTAAACCAGCAGCGGAAGAGAATGGTTGGAAGAGACTTAAATCATTTACTAGGGAAATGACTTAGCCTACTTGGCTTTGTAAAAGAATCTTTGGTTGCTGTAACAAGAACAGAATATGATGAGATAAACCAGAACATTTTACTGGGGGTTCAGTGAGAGGGGATGATAATTTGGATGGGAGTGTCTGTGGAAATTAAGAAGAATTTTCCAGAAATACTTTAGAAATAAGTGTCAGGGACTTCCACAGCTTATTTGTGGCAAGATTCTTATTTGTGGGAAGATTCTAGAATGTCTATGAAAAATGTTACATCACTGACTATGATATAGTTTCCATTTGCTAACATGACAAATGTCATGGAAGAGAAAAACAGTTGTGGTCAAGTTCTGTGTTGTGTCTGACGTTAGGCATGCTGGTGCAGGTACCGCACCGCAAGGGGTACCTGTAGTGACATCTCCCCAGAGCAAACACTTTTGTAAAATGCCCTGTGAAAATTCAGGATATATTTGATGAAATGCAGCTGTGATTTAGGTCCAGATTCTAATCCTCAGAGGCCAGCATTGTCTAAATCTAAACTCCATTTATAGTCTGCAGGACTTAAAGACATTAGAGATCCCCTGCCTTAAGCTTTTTAATATATAATATGCAGCTTTTTTTTCATCGTGTACAATTGGAGAGATTTCATTAACTGCTCTTCACCTCAGGTGGCCTGCCTGCTGTTATTTTCAAAAGATTAACCCCAGGGGTTGTATTGCATAAGTCTCCTCTTATTTGACCGGAATCATTCCTTCATTCCTAACAGACAGGATGTGACCTAAGAGAAAGGGTTCATGGTGCTCCAGCCCTTGCACAGCTGGTGTTCACTGCTGCCAAGGGGCTGGGCCTGGCTGCTCTCTGCAGCAGCACCACAGGCTGTGAATGGGGAGGGGTAGCTCTTTGGGAATTGCCTCTGGTTGGGTCCCTTAGTGGGTGGCATGTTTAATCTTTCCCCTTGAAAAACAAAAGGTTAACTAGGAACACATGTTTCTATAGCAACAGTAAATTCAAAGGGGATGTTAAAGCTCAGTAAATGTGGATACTGAAGAGGAAGGGAGTAGTCGCCCAACTGGAGAGGAAGTGGCTTCATAGTACAATGACCTTTCTTATTTCTGATTAATTCCCACCTGAATTTACAAGAAGTACAAGATGTTGGTGGAGAGAATGCATGGAAAAAAAAAAAAAAGAATACTGTTCCAAGGAATAATGTTTGAATGACACAGGAGCAGGAGGTTTTAATTTAATTGAGGAAACTGGTGGCCTTCTCTTAGTCAATGGCACTATCAATTTTCTAAACAGACCATTCGTTAGTCTTGGAAATGACTTAATATAGACTGTTTTTGCAAGTATTTAGAAAAACACATTTGTAAATACCAGACCAGGGAAAGATGTATCTGTCATTTGTGTTTTCAGTGGTTCAATCTGCCTTATCCTTCCATGGCTTTGTAATTTCTCAGTAAATAAAATTAGTACGCAAAAGGGGAGCGACTTCCTTAATATCCCACAATATGATGAGAGGAAAGGGAAGAAAAGAGCAATGAGAAAGAGAAAACCAAAAGGAAAAAATGCTATTCAAAATTCTTACTTCTTAAAAGGACAAAGAGCCACCATGCCGTGACAGTCATGCAAAGATGAAGGCCCCAGGACAACACTTGTAGTAAAATCTTTCTGTGTACTAAAAATATTATTTTTAAATTAATGGAAAACTTCCTGGTGTCTGGGAATGGGAGCCGCCCAACATCAAGACCCAGACATGCAGAACTAGAATTTTTAAAATTTACAAATTACATGTACTTAGTGTTCATTGCTAAAAAAATCACAATACGGAAAAATGCCCTTCACTCCTTGCCTCATTTTCAATGCTCTGTGTTTCTGTGGAACTTTCCAGAGTGTACTTTATGGGGAGTTGGAGAAGAGGAAGCAAGAGTCACTGGAAAGGAGCCAATGTAAAGGTACTTCCTAGGTCTGCTGTTTCATGGTCTTGGGAGAATCTATTCATTTCTTCACATCTGTGATTCATGATGTGTAAAGGGAACTGACTCCCAGGAAAGGCGGGAGTAGGAGTCACCAGCAGCCACAGGTTACTAGGAACCTGTGGGATGATTTTGACAACTGTTTTTATCATGATGTCTACAGTCTCCAGATACACACACACACACACACACACACACACACACACACACACACACACCCCAACCACCAGGGTGCTGTACATCCCCAAAGTACAATAAAAAATATTCCTCTCTCTAAATCTCAGGACACCCACTAAAAGTAAAAGAAAAAGGAAAACTTAACAATGTCCTAGCCAAGTGACAAGGTCTGGTGTAGAAAATCATTGGTGATAGAGCCCATCCTACTTATTTAATAAAGTGATTTTACATCTTAAAAACAAATTGTTTCTATGTTCTATAAATGAATAATATGCATTGTATGCTCACTCAATAGAAAATTTAATTTGTAAGCCTAAAAATAACATATGTTGGTGTCTTGTCAACTTGCCTTTTGCTGTTATTTACATTATTTGAAAACATGATGTGATCAAATCAGATTTTTTTAATTCTTCCACTTTAAAAAATATTTTATTATGTTTACGGTACCACACTTGAATTTCCTCCCACTGAGTGTGGACTTTTAGTCTACTAGGCAGCTGTTGATTGTCCCCAAGATAAAAGTGCCACTACTGCGCCAACATCATATGCTCTGCTGGCCATTCGTGTAATCATTTGACCTTGAAGCTGGTGTTGGATCATCAATTGATGTTTTCCCTTGGCACCTTCATAGTGTTCTCCAAAGCTGTGAAAGCTAGCCTTAGGGAGAGTGGTTTCCAGTGAGTTGCAGCTCTATTACTCCAAATTCTGTGCCCCAAGTATGTTCTGTCTTCTGGAGTAGGGCCTTACCTTCAAGTTCTGGGAGGCCACCAAAGACTATGGCAATAGCCTGTACAATTTTGGGAGACTCTTAGACCACCCTGGCCAACAACTCATGGAAGATTTCTCCTCTCTGGCACTGTTTCTTGTTATGTAGCCTTTAGCTATGCACATGGGTTCATGTAGAGATACTGTGTGTGTAAGTTTTCATTAGGTTGTTGGACTAATAAATACACACTGCTGGAGAGGTCATAGATCTTAGAGAAAATCCCAAGACTATCACATCCCTAGACAAATGTAATTTCTTGCTATGTGCAAAATATGTATCCTTATATTTACAGACAAATATCCCAGTTACTACTCATCAAAGAAGTTTATTTTGGATCAGTTGAAGACTATTACCAAATACCACAACTGGTCACACACAAACATTGTCTATGCATTGCCCAGGCCTAAGCAACACATCTACAATGCAACTTCTACACCTAAGGCTCACGGTATATAGGACAGGGTAAAGAGAACACTAATGAATCTCTCAATTCTCACTAATGAAGCTCCCTCATGCAACAGAAGGACAGGAACACGAAAGGTTACAAATGGCCAAAGCATAGAGATTAAGAGTCTTCAGATTGCTGGTCCATGGACAGGACTCTTATATTAAACTTCACCCACCCAGGGCTCAGGGACCATTGTGGAAGAGGGAGGTGGAAAGATTGTAAGAGCCAGGGAGGAGGTGCACAACCAAATGGAAGCAGAAAATGCAATACACTGTATTTTGATCATATTCAGATTCCTTACCTCAACTCTACCCCTATCCCACACCCATCTCCCCCTATCCCCCAAGTTTCATGTCCTCTATTATTACTTGTTTTTTTTAAGACCTATTGAATCTAATTCTTGTTCCCTAAATGCTCATGGGTATGGGTCCACCTCTGGAGACTGATCAATCCGCCCTTAAAGAAAACTGACACTCCCTCTCCTAGCAGCTATCAATTGCCGATACATCCTCGGCTATGGCTGGGGATTCCAACCATAGCTCATGTCCTCCATCAATGCTGGGCCCTGTCTGGTTTGGGTTTTCACAAGTTTTGTGCATGCTATCATAAGCACTGTGGATTCATATGTGGAACTACTGTGTGGTATCAAGACAACATGGTTCCCTTGTATTCATCCACCACCTCTGGCTCTTACAGTCTTTCTGTCCCCTCTTTTACAATTATCCTTTAGACTTGGGAGGACAGGGTGTGATATGTGTCCCATTTAGGGCTTAGAACTCCCAGTGCCTTATTCTTTGCATGTTGAGAGTTGGTTTCTGTGTTAATCTCCATCTGCCATGTAGAAAAGCTTCTCTGGTGAGAGTTGAGAAAGGAGTATAACAAGAAATAATTAGAAGTTGGTTTAATACTAGGTGTGTTTCGCAGAACAATAGCAGTAAGTTTTTCCTATGCCCTGTGATATGTCTAGCTGCAGGTTCTTGACCCTGATAATAGTGCCAGTGTATTAGTTACTTTTTTGTTGCTGTGATAAAACACTATGACCAAAGAAACTCCTAGAAGGGAGAGTTTATTGAGCCTGCAGCTCAAGAGGGATAATTATCTATCATCGCTGAGGAGGCACGGCAGGAGGCAGCCAGAGCACAAAGCTGTGGGCTCACATCTTCACAGACTCGGGAAGCACAGAGAGACAAACTGAAAGTGAGTAAGCTGTGTCCTGTCAAAACCTGCCCTGACCCCAGATGTGCTTCCTCCAGCAAGGCCACACCTCCTAAACCTCCACAAGGGAAGCCCCCATCAACTGGAGACAAGAAATTCAACCACTTGAAGCCTATGGGGAAAATTCTCATTCAAACCACCCACAGTCAGGTATGGACTCCCTATTATGATTCAAGCCTTAAATTCAACCAGAAGGTGGTTGATTATTTCCATATTTGTGCCACTGTTGTGCCAGTGAACATATCTTAATAGGCCAGTTAATGACTGTGGTTGCTCCCATGAGCCTGTAGCTCCAAACATTCACAGCTGGGTAAGGTTGATTACTTTTTCTCTTCCAGTAACACATAGAATACCTAGTACTGTGAAAGCTGGCAAGCAGAGATAAAGGCATGAAACTTCGAGGTCAGTATCAGCTTAATGTCTCTTGCTTATTCTACAAATCATGTGTGCAGTATCTTCAGCAATGGAGTGTTACTGTCAAGGTCTGATGGGTAACCAAGAGCAATGGCCATAGCCAGAATTACTTGATAATATATGGGACCTACCTAGTCAATGAGCTTCAAAAGAGTCAGTCCATTCTTGGTGTCAAGCTTTTTGTTTGCTAGACTATGGTGACTGATAGGGTCATTGAACACCCATTTTAGGATAACTACATTTAAACAGGTGGAGTGTTACTGTCAAGGTCTGATGGGTAACCAAGAGCAATGGCCATAGCCAGAATTACTTGATAATATATGGGACCTACCTAGTCAATGAGCTTCAAAAGAGTCAGTCCATTCTTGGTGTCAAGCTTTTTGTTTGCTAGACTATGGTGACTGATAGGGTCATTGAACACCCATTTTAGGATAACTACATTTAAACAGGTTTATATTGTCTGTATACATTTTTTGTCAAAATGACATAAGTATTAAGACTCCTACTTGGGCCCAGATACAAAGAACAATAATAATCAAATGCCGTTAACAAACTGTATGCCAACAAGTAAAACTAAATCAACTAAAACCAAAGATTTGAATATGATATACATTTTAGGTTTATTTTATTATTATTAAAGATCTAATGTAAAATGTATCTTTTTAGCCTATGTAAAGTACATGATTCTGTTGGCTTTAAGTATATCACGGTGTTGTGCAACCATCCCCAGTACCTAATCCTCATCCTCAAATGTTTTCAACATCCCAAAAGGAAACCTTGTCCCCATTAAGATGTCACACCCTGTTCCCTCTTTTTTCACTAATCTACTTGCCGTCTCTGTGAATTTGCCAAAGCTGGGAGTTCCATACAAATGGAATCATATATAGTCTTCTTTCACTGGCTCCTTTTAACTTAAAAAATTATGGTTTTTGTTTTGTTTTGTTTTGTTTGAGACAGGGTCTCACTATGCAGCTCTGGCTGGTCTGGAACTCAGAGATCTACCTGCCCCTGCCTCCTAAATGCTCAGATTAAAGACATGTGCCACCACCTGATTTAGTAGCTCATGCCTGTAATCCCAGTACTTGGGAGGCTGCTGCAGGGGGATCACCATAAATTTGAGGCTAGCTTGGGCAAATAGTGAGTTCCGGGTCAGCCTGGGCCACAGAGTAAAACTATGCCTCAAAAATAAAAGAGGGCCGGGTGTGGTGGCACATGCCTTTAATCCCAGCACTCAGGAGGCAGAAGCAGGTGGATCTCTGTGAGTTTGAGGCTAGCCTGGTCTACATAGTGAATTCCAGGCAAGCTAGGGCTACAAGGAGACCCTGTCTCAAAAAGATAAACAAAACAAAACAACACAAGTACCCAGGTTTAATTTACAGCACCCACATGGCAGCTAACAACCATCTTTAACTCCAATTCCAGGGGGTCTGATGCCCTTTTCTGACCTCTGTGGGCATTGCACATGAGGCAATACACTCATACACATAAAAATAAATAAATAAATAAATAAATAAATGAAAGAAGAAAAAGAGAAAAAGAAAAAAGTGATGGGGAGATATGGGAGGTGTTGGAAGGGCGGGAGTGGGCATGGATTTGATCAAAACACCTTATGTGCATATATGAAATTCTCAATAAAGTTTTTGTAAAAGTTGAAAAGAATAGTATCTTCGATAGTAGCAGGTTTACAAATGACATTTTCCAAAGGTCTTTAAGGTTAGTTATTCCTCCCTTTACTCCTCGCTCTGTGCTGATTTTGCATTTCCCACTCAATTTGATCCTTCTTATTCATTATTCATTTTCTCCTTTATATCGCTGCGTTTTCTCTCCCTTCTCATGAGCCTTCACACACACACACACACACACACACACACACACACCTATGGTAACCTGCCAGTTTTCTGATTTCTAGAGATTTTCCAGTTGAAACACTCCTATCTAAAAACTCAAAGGTAGCACCCACTTATAAGACATTGGAATTGGTTTTTAATCAACTAGTTGTTTGATTCTATTTTTATTGAATTTTTGTTAATTTCATATATTTTGATCATATTTAGATTCCCCTTCCCCATCTGAACCCCCCTAACTACCCTCAACAAATTTTATGTACTCTATTACACACACACACACACACACACACACACACACACACACACACACACACATATATATAGTGAGAGAGATAAACTTGTGCCCCCAAATGCCCTTTGCTGTAGGTCCATTCACTGGAGGTTCGTCAACCTATGAAGACTATTACTCTTAGACCAGACAGACTCTCTTCCTTCTAGCAGAGATCATCTGCCAATACTTCCTCAGTAGCATTTCTTAACCATTTCCCCATGTCTGTGATGGGGTTTTGTTTGGCTAGAATTTAGTGGCACTTATGCATGCTGTCACCATTGCTGTGAGTTCACATGACTAACTGCTCAGTTGTCTGGAAATCTGTTTTCTTATCGTCATCCACCACCTTTGGCTCTTACAATCTTTCCTCCCCCCTCTTCTGCAATGTTACCTGAACCTTGGGAGACAGAAATTTAATGTAGTTTTCCTATATAAGGATAAGCACTCTGCAGCCTCAATTTCTCTGCACATTGGCCATTTGATGGTCTCTGTGTCAATCACCATATGCTGCATAAGGCAATTTCTCTGGTGAGAATTGAAAGATGCATTAATCTATGGAATCAGCTTAATACTATATCTATTTAGAAGAATAACAGTATTGGCTTCTCCCCTGTGGCCTGTGACCTATCTAGCCACAGGTTCCTACTTCTGATATCAATATCGGGTATAGGCTCCATCTTATGAAGCTGATCTTAAATCCAATTAGAAAGTGGTTGGTTACTCCCATAACATTCATGGCACTACTGCACCAATGGGCATATCTTGCCAGGCCAGTTGTTGTAGCTCACAGGATAAGTAATTCATAACTAGGTAAAGTTGATAATTTTCTCTACCAGTAACAGGCAAAACACATTCCAGCACTATGAATGCTATCCATTAGAGATGAGACTTTGAAGTTAAAACCAGCTTGATTTTCTTGGTTTGTTCTATAATTCACATTAAGTGTCTTTAACAATAGGATTTTACCACGAAGTTCTGGTAGGTAACCAAGAGCAGTGTCAGTGACCTTTATTGTTAGAGGGTCTGTGGGACACCTAATCAACAGCTTCAAAAGAGGAACTATTCCTGGTGTTGGGCTTTTATTTTCCTTTTAATCTTTGTGTGTGTGTGTGTGTGTGTGTGTGTGTGTGTGTGGTGATGCTGTGTATATGTGTGTTTGAGTGCATGTTTGCATGTGAAAGTGCCAAGGAGGTGTGGAGGTCAGAAAACAACTTCAGGTGTGGGTCCTCACTTTCTTCCTTATTTGAGACAGGGTCTTTAGTTTACACTGCGTATGCCAGGTTGGCTGGTCCTGGCCCTTCTGGGGATTCTTCTATCCATACTTCCTATCTTACCCATAGGAGTCATGAGATTACAGATGTATGCTAATATGTCTGGCTCTGTGTGCCTTCAGGAAATTCAACCTCAATTCTTCTTGCTTGAGTAGCAAGTGCCATCTGTCCAGCTCTGAATCAGCTTTGACTTCCTCTGTTTCTTTTCTGTTTTCATACTATGAACAATGTATTGGCCTTTAAAAAATTATTATTACTATTGTGTTGGGGGGCATGGGTGTGGAGGTCTGGGGATAACTGTGTGAAATTCCGACTTTTATGTGGGTTCCAGGGATTGAACTTAGGTTGTTAGGCTTAAGTGGCAAGAGTCTTTATCGACAAGGCCATCTTCCAGCCTAGCTTATTAATTTTTAATTTTTCAGAAGAAATTATAAAGTAAAACTTCTAATAATATTAGTGTGTATCCAGTATAGCCTATATCCTAAAAGTTGATGCTCTAAGTAGCTTCTAAATGGTTGCTTAATGTTGAATAATTTTCCAAATTGCAACCTATGATCCATGTTATTGTTACTGCAGGGGTCTAAGAGTGTCCCATGATGCCATGTTCAGGTTCTATGTGCCTCAAACATAGAACTGGACAAGTGAAAGGATAGGTTTACTAAATAGAATAACAAATAGAATAGAAGCAGAGCATGTTCCACAGAATAGGAGTGGACTTAAGCAACCACGGTGCTCGAGAGCCCCAGGTTATTTCTTTGGAGTTCTTTTTATGAGTTCTGGAAGAGAGAGGAACTGCTCCCCAAGTACAGAAATGGGATGATCCTTACGCTGACTGACAGATAGGCTTTTAAATATTCTTAGGCCATCTGCAGGTACACAACTGTATATCCCATCATTTATTTTTATTATTTTTTTAATTTTATGTGTATGTGTGTATTGCCTGCATGTGAATAAGCGCACCCCGTGTCGTGCATTACTTGAGAAGAACAAAAGAGGCTGTCAGGCCCCTGGAACTGGAGTTACGGACAGTTGTTAGTTGCCATGTGGGTGCTGGGATTTGAACCCAGGTCTTCTGCAAGAACAGTCAGTGTTCTTAACCACTGACCCATCTCTCCAGCACCATATATCCCATAATTTTAAGCATACATAAAGAGTGACGTGAATGCATATGTGATGGTGACTAAAAAAGTTTTCCCCTGACAGATAGCCTCAAGGATAGATTCTCCTTCACTGTGCTTGTGCCGAATACTGGGTTAAGGTGACCTTGTTTATTTTTTTCTTAAGCCAGCCTTTTTATCTCATCCCCTACCAGGAAGTACCTGAACACAATTAAGGAGATGCTGAGTGTTTCCCTACCTGAAAAGGGCAGGTACATGTTTTTCCAAGGGAACTTGCCTGTTCCCCTGCTTGTGTATTTCAAGGCGAGTAGTTAAACCAATCTCATTAATTTATTTCAAAAAATTAGGTTTTTCACTGAAAGAATTTGAAGAAGACACTAGAAGATGGAAAGACCTCCCATAATTATGGATTGGAATAGTTAATATTGTGAAAGAGTGATATTACCAAAAGTAATCTACAGTTTCGACTCCATCAAAATTCCAACTCCACACTTTAACGAGACAGAAAAAGAATCTTATACTTTGAATGGAAGCACAATAGACCCCAGATAGCTAATGCACTCCTGAACAGCAACAAGAAGAAATGATGCTAGCCTTATCACCACATTTGTTTCAAGTTATACTACATAGCCGTGGTAACAAAAAAGAGCTAGAAAAATAGCTCAGCAGTTAGAGCACTTACTGCTCTTGCAGAGGGGCCTGGGTTTGATTTCCATCACCCATATGGTGGCTAACAACTCTCCATATCTCCAGTTCCAGGGGAAATTAACATTTTCTTCTGACTTCCATGGGCATTACACAATATGGGTGCACTTACACACATGCAGGCAATACACTCATACATATAAAATAAAAATAATTGTTTTTTAAAAAAAGCATGTTACGGGAACTAAAATAGACATGTAGATCAATGGTATATAAGGAACAAATATAAACCCTCATAGGTGCAGCCAGTTGATTTTGACACAGCTGACAAAAATATACAATGGAGAAAAATCTTATTCCACAAAAAGGCTTGAGAAAGCTCTGTATCTAAATTTAGAAGAATGAAACTGGATCCCCATCTCTGACCCCACAAAGGCCAACTTCAAAGTGATCAAATATCTCAGTATAGGCCCTGAAATTCAAAAAATGTTAGAAGAAAAATTAGGAAAAACACTTTAAGATACAAGGAATGTGGTCATTTGGGAAATAATGCCAGCAATTTGTAAATGGGGCCTGATGAAATTTAATAGTTTTTGTACAGCAAAGAAGCAGTTAATTGAGAGAAGAAAGATCCTACAGAGTAGGAAAAAATGCTAACTATGGATCTGACAAATGTTTAATGATATCTAGAATATGCAAAGAACTCAAAAAACTAAACAAGAAAATAAGTAACACAGTTAATAAACGGGCTAATGCAATGAACAGACAGTTCTCAGAAGATGAAACACAAATGCCCAATAAGCACATGAAAAATATCAAACTTCATTAGCCATCAGAGACATAATTAAAACTGCAATGAGATGGCATCTCACCTCAGCCAGAATGATAGTAATTAAGAAAGTAACAAGGAAGCTAATGAAGGTGGACAGAAGGGAGCACTTTACACTGCTGGAGGGAATGGAAAGTGGTTCAGCCACTGTGGAAACCAGCATTGAAGTGTCTCCAAAACAGCAAAGATAAATAAATCAAAAAAATAAAAATAAATAGAAATAGACTTCCATATGACCCAGATCATGGATATTTACCCAAAACTCTGGGTCAAAGCATCAACAGACACTTGCACATCAATATTTGCAGCACCCTTCACAATAGTTAGCAATGGAATTAACTCAGGGTTCCAACAGAGGAACAAATAAAGAAAAGGCTTTGTCTAATCACAAAAGAATTTTTTAACCATAAAGAAGAATGAAGTTACATGTTTGCAAGAAAATGGATGCAACTGGAGACAATCACATCAAGCTTAAGCTAATTAAGCCTTTCTCAGAAAAATAAAGGATGTTTCTCTCCTTTGTGGTTCCCAGACTTTATACACATGAAAGTAAAAGTGAAACTGGCTGGGAGACAAAGGGGACTCATGATGGAAGGGGTTGAGAGGAATAAGGGTAAGAGGGAATGTGATTCATACAACATACATTTGTATGATCCTGGTGACACTATTATTTTCAATTTGCAGATAAAGAAGGAAAGAAACGCCACAAAGTTAACGTGGCATCCAGAGCATCTTATGTTAAACTTATTTTCTTCAAGGAACAACAAAAAAACCCAAAAAACTCCAGTGTGAACTTTCTTCTTTTCTCCAAATATAATTAATCTGGCAACGTTCTTTCACACAGAAACAAATCTCATTCGCTGTCTTTGAAGGCTAGCCAGCTGGTCTCTCTCTTACTTCTGAAGTAAACAGAAGACTGCTTACTTGCCTCGAGTTTATTCTCACTAATTAGAGAATTGTTGTTCTGTTCACTTTGAAAACCTTCTGGAAGATAGGAGATCCCTTTCCCCTGCAATTCTCTCTAAACTCAGTGCTAGAATCTTCTCTCTTTCTGGGGATGACTGTGAGAAAATTCCCAAGTTTGACAGAACAAAAGCAAAGGAATCTTTGGAAAAGGAATTAATTCATGTGTTGAATAAGAGTGGATGAGTCTTCATGTCTACTCGTTTGAGTTAAAACAAAGATGCAGCAAAATTCTTTGAACTTTGAAATGTAATATGAATGCGTTTTACTAGGCTTACTATTTTTAAACCTTGAAAACAATAAAAATGTCTTTTGCTTACTTTTACTCAGTCCCCACTACAGTATACTTGGCCAGGAATAAGACATTAAGACTTGAGTTTTGAATCTAAATTCCTCTCATTTCAGTTACATATGAGCTCTTCCCAAATGATTTCTGGACATTCTAATGAAAATGGAGGTTGTAAGAGGTCAAGGGACAGAGGAATGACAATAAAGGAAAGTACAGACCAACATAGTTGAAGTCAAAAGAGCCTGGTGGGTAGCTTAGAAAGAAGGGGGAGAGAGATTTGAGAAGTGACTTCTGTCTTTGATTTTTTATGGTTTCATCCATATATGTAATATATTGTGATTATATGCACCCCCACAGATCTCTGCCATCCTCTTCCTTTCCCGTTGAACCACTTCTTCCTACCTAGTTCCCACTGGCTACACTATTAGAAAAAAAAAAATGACACCTTCCCCCTCAAGCAACCATTAAAAGGCATTTGCTCCTAGGGAAGGAAGGGGGACTGTGGGCCTCCTCATCCCATGATGAAGGGTGGAGCGGCCCAATTTGTGCAAGTGTCCATAGCTGTTATGTGTTCTTAGCAACCATGACATCATATCTGGATAGCAGCTATATTAACACTCTTCCGCATCCTCTGGCTTTTACATTCTTTCTGTGCTCTCTCCTGCAATGTTCTCTGGACCTTGGAAGAAGGGATGGGTGATACGACGTCTTGCTTAAAGCTGAGCACTCACCAGTCACTAATTTTCAGCCCTTAGAATATTTACAGGACAGAGAAATCAAGTTGGAACTGAGCTAGAAACTCCTTCCCTTCTGATGAGTGCTCACACTAAGAGAAGTCTGGCATCATATAGGCGTCGAGGCAAGAAAAGGCATCCAACTGTCTTTTCCAACTGTAGACCATTTGTGCTACAGTACCAACTGGTACAGCAAGATAAGCCCAGTGATACAATAGCAGTGTGACTATTTTGGGGATAACCAACTTCCTTGGGATTGGCCTGGAGGCCACTCCCCAGCAAGGAATATACTTTGGTACTAAAAGCCTGGTCAAAAGCCAATGACTTTGTAGGGCATGGGCCCAATGGGGAACATACTACCACTGTTTCCCTAAATTAAAATGTCAAACTGCCTTCTAAATAGTTATGTTTATATGTGTGGACTAATGTAGCCATCAGTCTAGGACAGAGACGTTCCTTCTTATGGAGGGTGATGGTTAATATAGAGATTCATATATGATAAAAGCAACTTTTTGTGGGACATATTTTCAAATGAGAGACATGGTAATAAGATGCTTATTTATGTTTTTCTAAGTATTAAGTCAAAAACAACTCTAGTAAGGGTACAGATTTCTTTTAACTGCTCAGTTGACAGAATATATTTGTTTGAAAATGACATTGGAACAAGCAATGAGAAAATGGGTTTTTATGTACATTACATGAAAGTGGCAATTTTTTATTGGGGAACTGTATTCATCATACTCTGTCAAACATTAGTATATTGTCTTTCAGGTTTGTATGGAAGAGGTGCAACAAAGATCATCGACCAGACAACTCCATGGGGGACAGCAGTTTATTTGAGAGCAGACTGGCTGCCTCTTGGGGAGCAGAGAAACAGCAGCAAGCAGGGGAAGTCAGACATCTTTTATAGGCAGTTAGGTGGCTGGGTAGCTTCCCATGACAAAGGCTAGGCAGTTTAGCTCAGGATTAGTTGGTTTCCCAATAAGCAGAGGGACTTTCCAGGGGCTAAGTTTGAACCTGCCATTTTAGAATGTTGGGAGCTGCACTGCCATTTAAGGAGCCTGCCAGGAACCTAGCAAGGTTTTGTGTATTTCCTTTCTTTTATAACTTTTAAAGTTATGTATAATGTTTCACCGCAGCCTAGGCTTGCCTGGAGTTCACAGTATAGCCCAGGATGGCCTTGAATTTGCAGCAGTCCTCCCATCTCAGCCTACCACATACTGGGATGACTGGCATGAGCCACCAAGCCTGGATTGAACTGTTGCCTATTAAGTAGGAATAAGAATCAAAAGAAATTGGAACAAGGTAAAATGGAAATCATAAACACATCAATATTCATTCTTTATCTCCCCCAAATATTTTCTTTTTACCAGCTGATGATTTATTTATTACTGAGAGTCACTCATATATCAAAGAATGAAAAACTTGGAGGCTAAAACCGCTCATGTTTTTCAAGTGAATTCAGTATTTGAATACTTAACAAATATTCAAGTTGAGTTGTTTTTGTTGCTGTGATAAAAAAAACTTACCAAAACAACAGGAAGGAAAGGGTGTATTTGACATATAGGTTACAGTTCATCATCCAGCAAATCCAAGGCAGGAACTCAAGGCAGGAACCTGGAGACAGGAACTAAAGCAGAGGTCAAGGAGGAACACTGCTTATTGACTTCATGCGGTAACTTTCTTATGCAGCCCAGGCCCACCTGCCTAAGAATGGTACCGACCACAGTGGGCTGTGCCTTCCTACCGTCAACCAAAAAAATGATGACCCACAAACATTACTGGACAAATCTGATGGTGGAAATCCATCAGTTGAGGTTCCTTCTTCTCAAGTGCCTTTAGCTTGTGTTCAGTTGTCGAAACCAACCAGCACACCACACATGCAGAATGTGGATTAGATAGGGAAGCATAAAACAAATTCAGCCTTCAGTAAAGAGGTATTGTAAAAATTCAGTAGTATGTACCATGTACAACAAAATAGACAAAATGCAGCGCACACACACACACACACACACACACACGTACGTGGACGAAAAGCACTCTCTAAATCTTATTTCACCTCTACTACTGTTTTGAAAGAGGAAAGCAAGACACATGTCCATTTCCCACACAATCTCTGACTTGACTAAAAAGTCATCTTAACTAATGGTTTTCTGGTGATATGAATCATTTTCTCTATGAGCAGACTAGAAATCTTTATTTTCCCCCAAATGAAGCAATTTTCAAGCTTCACCTTGTCACCTATGCAACTCCATGGGATATAGAATTGGGTAGAAATTCCCCAGGGTCCTCTTAGTGTTGTTTCTTATCTATCAGCATGGATATTCTTGATTGGCATTCTTACATATTTCCATTCAGTTGTGTTGATTAAATTACTCTTTTTATGCCTGCTCATAGCCTCTATTCTGAAAAATAAAGTTAACCATTAAAAAATGTTTAAATCACTCTTGAAATTGAATCGAAGCTGAGTTCTCTATTTTACCTTCAGATTAGTTGTGAGAACTTGCCATTTCTGTCTCTCCCCCTACATCTGAACAAATATGATAAATGTGTGTATGGATTTAAGAAAATTAAAATCTTGGAAACTAAATCACAAGAGATCCTTGTAAAGCAGCCAAATCATTGGATGATCATAACCTCTCCTCAGGGTCTTTGTTCTTCGGCTCTACCCTTAGGAATGCCTTCCTCCAGGTGTTTTATAACAACGCACTGCACTCACCAGCTTCCTGTTTGATGTGGCTAATCAGAATCTTCCCTCCCATTTTGTTTTCAATCAAAACCTCTTCCCCCATATGCTTTGCACATCTTTTTCTCTCCTCTCTGTTAAGGTCCATTTTTTCCATACACAAGACTTTATGACATACATGATTTCTTGGTGTATTTACTAATTTCCCCACCATACGTGACAGGACAGGAATTGAGAAAAACAGAGATGTTTGTGTTATTCACTTCTGTATTAAGCAACTGAGATATATAATATGTGTTTGTGAATATATGCACATATATTTATGCATGCATATAGAAGATACACCATGATAGTCTGGAGAGATGGCCCTGAGATTAAGAACACTTGCTGCTCTTGCAGAAGACCAAGGTTCATTTGCAAGCACCTACCTGGTGCTCATAAATATCTATAACTCCAGTTCCAGGGTGTACGTTGCCCTTGTCTGGCCTTGCCACGCACTGTACTCATGTGGATGTGTGCGCACGCAAACACATACACAAATATAAATAAAATTAAAAATTTTTAAAAGTTATACCAGGTGGTGGACATGAAATGTATTTGATGAAATATAATTCCCTTCCTTATGGTTAAGTCCATTCAATATTTTCAAATTGTTTAAGAGTTCTGAGATTCATAGAGAGTCAAAATATAGACTTGTAGCTGACTCTGTAAAAGATTGCTTATTTAGAATCAACTACACATGTCCTTGCACTACACTGTAAATTCAGAGTGGGCCTTTACTTAAAATCTGGGAACAGGGATCAAGTGTAAGGAATGAGTGTAGAATTCTTAGCCACATAGCCTGTTTATAAAATTACTAAATTTATGCCAATTTTTAGTTTGTTTCAAGGTACAGTCTTTGTTAAGACACCTGATTAAATGAGTTCAAATCATAACCCAAAATAGAAGCAAAAGAAGGAAAGAACTGAACACCAAAGGTCCTCTGACCTCCTCACATGAGTTGTGATGCATACATCCTCCACACCACACCTGTAAAGTAACAACAATAAAGAAAACAGTTACAATGTAAAATGTCTCAGAAGAATACTAGGCATATATCCTTGTTCCCTAACACTACAATTTTTTTTCAAAATCATTAAAGTAGGAATTTTCCTTGTCTTTATTGCCACAAATTAAGAAATTTAGAGAAAAATTTAGGGAAAAAAAAACAAAACACCCACACCCATCAAGTTATCACAGTCTGTGTAATTCATTCCCTTATCTCCTGTCTGTCAGAGGAATATATTTCTCATAGATTCCTCTCTTTCTGAGTGCCCAGAATCTGTTCATCATTACAGGGCTTGTTAATGGTTGCAAAAAAGAGAGCAAAATACCTGCTAGAAGATCTATTGGCTGACTTTTAAAAAAGAAAAGCCAGAGCAAGAATAGCAACAAAAATCAAATTCCATAAATACTTCTTAAGTATGCTTTTAATTATGATTCAGATGTACCTTAAAATGAAGTTG